CAAATAAGCCTAATCCTAGGGAGTACGTCCCGGGACGTCTCCGACACCCGAGTTCAATACTACATTCACACTCTAAGTTCATACCTTTTTGCTGAAATCGATCGACAATCGACAGTGAACATACATATTTCATTTTCGTACTCTTTCGAATATTCAATGTAATATGTGCATGTAATAATTTTAACTACTCATACAATTTTCTAACTTAATTTATATAGTATTAATACATATAATATATGTAATATATATAATATATTTATAATATATGTAATATTTATAATAATATAACTTTGAAATGGCTCTACTTGCATTTTGTATGCACAAATATAACTTTGAAATGACTCTACTTGCATTTTGTATGCACAAATATAACTTTAAAATGACTCTACTTGCATTTTGTATGCATAAATAAAATTTTGAAAAATTTGCATAATAAATCTATAGTTTAAAATCGACACAAGGTCCACGACCTAACCACACACATACACACACACGTGTAACTTGTGTCGATAATTCACTGCCAATTTGTCGATCGCCAAAACATCTTAAAACTAAATCGTGTCCACCTGCCCTAACTCATGCGAGTAGCATCTAAGCACGCGCATGAGATTAGAGCATAAAAATGAACACGGCCAACAGTAGTTGGACTTACCAGTTTTCTTCATGTGTGCTGAAAATCCTGAGCTAAAAAACTTGATTAAGAACATGTTAATAAAGTGTCTCCCAAAAAAATTGACTCTAAGTTTTCAAAATGGAAAATGGAGAACACTTTGCAAAAATCTAAGTATCGATCATTTCATTTTTAACAGATTTCTGATATCAAAGTGAATATACTAAATGATTAAAAACATTCATAATTAACTTTGATATCGAAATCTGTTCTCCGCGAAACTTTCTTGTACATATTTGAAAATATTGAATTGATAAAATTGATAAAAATGTAGAAAAATTTAAAAGTGACTCTATTATTGAATTAATATGAAATCGGAGGGTCATCCGACTTCTATGTAGTTTTAAATTTGATTCGTTAAAAAGAGAAATGTACAAGAAAACCCTGACCTGATCTAATAAATAAAATAAACAGTTTGTACGAATTTTGCACGATCGTACAGTCGTGGTCACTATGCTCGCTCAAAGATAGAAAAATACAACCAGTTCCCGTGTCGCTTCGGACCATTCGTCCTACGACATGATGGGAACCGGAGGAATCGTAAAGCATGCGACTCACCGATCGCTGACTTGCATCACTGCGATCGTTTTACCGGTAGGCATCTGTGACAGCACGTCTGGGAGGCATTGCATCTTAGAGGTTGATTGACTGATTGATTGGTTGGCTGATTGATTGATTGGCTGCTTGCATCAGATTTGGATGTGGCAATTTGGCAGTGGACCTTCTGTAATCATAAAAGAATCACAACGATTAATTAACTGTGTTTATCGATTTGCATTTTGATAACATAAATGTTTTTTAGACATCTACTTGTACAAACATTTAATTACAAATACATAGAGGCATGCAAGAGTCGGTTATAAATTTGCAAACGTTTGTTACAACGTGAAATATTGTAAAATACTTGAGAATGTATGTTAAAACACTTGGGTAATTACTTTAGAGAGCATGGTAAACGTTTGCAAAAATATAAGAGAACACATAGGTAACTACAGTTTAAACACCAGTAACAGTTTGTCAAAACATTTAAATAACCACTACATAAAGTACACTACGACACCAGTAATAGTATATCAATGCACTTAAATAATCATTGCATAAAGTACACTAAAGCACCAGTAACAGTTTGTTAAAACATTTAAATAACCATTGCATAAATTACACTAAAGCACCAGTAACACTATGCACCAGTAACAGTTTGTCAAAACATTTAAATAACCACTACATAAAGTACACTACGACACCAGTAATAGTATATCAATGCACTTAAATAATCATTGCATAAAGTACACTAAAGCACCAGTAACAATATGTCAAAACATTTAAATAACCATTGCACAAATTACACTAAAGCACTAGTAACACTATGCCAATACACTTAAATAACAGTTGCATAAAGTACATTCAAACACCAGTAACATTATGCCAAAACATTTCAATAACCTTTACATAAAGTGCACTAATACCCACTAACGATTTGTAAAAACACTTAAATAATCACTCCACAAAATACATTAAAACCGTAAAAAATTAATAAAACATTCAAATAACCGCGCCATAAAACACACTAATAAATCCGTATACACATGCACAATCACTTAAAAAAACACACTAGTAAAGTCACTGATACTTGTAGAACCACACCATAAAATTTGTTAATACACCCCCATATTTAATAAAAAATATTTATTAATGCACACTAAACACTAGTAGTAGCACACTAGGTACACTAATATATCCATATATGCATGCAGGTAACACATTGTTAAAGTCACTGACACTTGTAGAATTACACCATAAAATTTATTAATACACCCGCATATTTATTTAAAAATATTTATTAAAGCACATTAAACACTTGTTAAAACACATTAGGTAATACAGGGACAAGCACAATATCGGTTAAGTGAACCCTTGACTCGTACCGGTAAGTGTTGACAGGTGCGGTCCGACCTCCTCGACTTCCAAAATAGGACTGATAGCGTTTGACCTCCCACCAGTGTAAGTGTTATTGGTAGTTGATGACAGCCAATTAGACATCATAATACTCCATCAATAGATCCCATTCGACCTCTTCAAGTGTAAGGGTGATTGGTAGTGTACAGTAACCAATCAGACATCACGTAATCCACCAATAGCGTGCAACCACTCTGATTGGATGTTGTATAACTATTTTAACGTTAATTTTTTTATAATTTTATATTTTTCGATTTATTAACAAATTTATTGTTGCAATTGTTTAAATTTATTATTTTTTTTAACTTACTCTTGCAGATATGTTACAAAATGATTGTTAATTAATATATTACGATATATTTTATTGTAACTTAAACACATAATAGTTTCATATTTTTCGAATGTTTTATGCGCGGTTTTTTAAAAAGTGACGTCATCAGCGAAAATGGAACTAGTGCCATCTCTTCGGCGAACAGGGTGAACTACACGTTTTTGAAACTGCAGTTTCATTAGTTTTCCACACTGCCACTAGACGGCGCCAAGTTTTGGTGACACTGTTCACAACAGGTACCAATATGAAAACATGAAAAGACTCGTTTTAGCGTCCACGTGCGTGACAGTTTTGTGGTTATGTTCTCTAGTGTGTAGTATAGTGCGTAAATAAAATTTACAATACCGTTGTAAATGACTGTAAAAAATCAAATGAATCATGTCCAGTTGTAAAATACATAACGTCAGATTTTATAACCTCGAACCTCGTTCTGTTACTTGTTTATCTTATGAATCTAAAACTAAAAAGTTAGCGCTTGCAAGGTTAGTATCACAGTTTACCATTGTATTCTAGTTTTGATATCTGCTCTAACAACCTTTTCGAACAATTTATTACAGAAATGATAATTCAATAGAAGTTTGGAATGTCGGGAATGCACCTTTCGTGGAATGTACCATAGGTGGTCATGCAGAAAATTCAATAGAGAGCATCCTCTGGATTGGACCAAGGTTGTTTTCGACCGGTCTGCATGGAATGATAACAGAATACAATTTATCAACGCTGTCTGTTAAGAATGAAGTTGCGGTCACTGGAGGTGCAGCCTGGTGTATGGATGTTAATCATCAACAGACCTGCTTAGCTGTTGGTACAGAGGATGGATACATCAACACTTTCACTGTTAACCCAGATGTATTAATGTACGAAAGAATTTTTGATAAACAGAAAGGCAGGATTCTTTGTATTAAATGGGATAACACAGGAGAAATGATTTACTCAGGATCTGTAGACACAATTAGAGTTTGGAATGCCATATCGGGTCATGCCATCCATAAGATGACAACTGGTAGGAAAGAAGCTAAGAAAGAAACAATTATTTGGTGTCTAGAAGTTACGGACGATAATGTTATCATTTCTGGAGATTCTCGTGGATGTTTATCATTCTGGGATCCTCACATGGGCACACTGATCGAATCCCATGAAAGCCATACAGCTGACATACTGGCTGTTACTTTGTCTCATGATGGGAACACTGTATACTGTGCCGGTGTTGATCCTGTAGTAAGAAGTTTCTCTAAAATAAGTATGAAGTCTACTGGCAGAGCACAATGGGTGAAAGGAATTGAAAGGAGGTTGCATGCTCACGATGTGAGGGCTTTAGTAGAGGCAGATGGAAAGCTATACTCGGCCGGTGTGGATGGATATCTTGCGCAATCGAGTTATCCACCGAAAGTACTTGTCAAGTACCCACCGTTACTTCAGCCGCCTTGCGCTACTGTTTGTAGAAAGTCTAGATGTATTTTATTGCGATATACAAATTTCCTCGAACTGTGGAGACTCGGGTCATCCACGAAGGTACCTCCAGAGTCTGTACGTCCCGGCATGTTCCACCAGTTAGAAGAAGAACCTCTAAAATTATTACAATTAAAAACCAAAAGGGACGAAAGCATCATTTCCTGCGCCATCAACAAAGACTCTAAAACCATCGTCTACTCGACCGACAATCATGTCCGGGTTTTCAACTTTGACGTCGTCGAAGGAGACGCGCAGTTATCGAAGAACGATACCGACGTTTCTGTAAACAGAATACAGAAAATGTTATTCAGTCCTAACGGAAAACTATTCCTAACTATTAATAATAACGGGAAGAAGAACGTGGTGACACTGTACAAAGTGGAGAAGAAACGTTTAAGGCATCTCGGTTCTTTCCATACGAATAAAGAATCAATTGTAGATGTTGGACTAGTTTGTATCTCTCCAGACAGTAAATACTTTGTGTGTGCCGATCGGCAAGGTAGCATCGCTGTATATAATTTTAGTGAGACTGCGTCCATCGATGCACCGATGGCATGGTTGTTACCCAAGTACAGTTGTCCGCCAACAGCTATGGCTATACAGAAAAACACTTTGAACTTAGTTATCGTATACTCAGATCACAAGGTAAATATGGTGCAATGTACCAAAGATTTTTCTTAAACCTAAGATGTTCGGATATCGAAACTTCATACCTTACTGTCGTAAAACGATGAGTTAGCAGTAATTACAACGGCTATAAAAAGCGTATAATCTGTCTATGACCCTGCATTTCCTAGCTCCAGTAAATCGTTGCTATAACTCTGTTGGTATTATGATGTCACGTGCAAAATTAAAAACGATAAAACGCGAACATTTTATCGGCAATTATCTTTGATGCGTAATCGTCGGATGTTCAATTTCAGATCGTCGAGTATAACATTTTACAAAGGCAGTTCACGAAGTTCTCCAACAGTTTGCAAAGTCGACTTCCAAAGCAGTGGCTGGCGCGACCGTTCCCCATCACGAATATAATTTTCGATCCTCGCAACGAGAACATCATAATAATGCACGATGACTCGACGGTGTACGTGATCGATAAACTGAACGAGCTCTCTGAGAACAATGCAAAAATACCGAAACGCGAAAACGGCGATATAACGGAGGACGGTACATCCATCATAGGCTCGCACTCCCAGCAAGCCTTCCAAGTCCTTAAAAAATACAAGGTAATTTCGACTCATCTGGATAATGAGATGCTTGGATAAGTACAATGATAAAATTATATCTATTTGCAGCATTTAGTATATTTAGACTGGTTAAACGACGAAGAACTAGTGGCTGTCGAAGTGAATCCGATATCCTTGACGGAAAAGTTACCACCCACCCTCAAACAGAAGTGGTTTGGAATGTAAATATTCAGAGAATGAATGAAATCCCGCGTTTCGGGGGATTGAGTATTCTGTACAAAGTTGTTCATCGGTATGTTTTATACATACACTCCACGCTGATTTTGAATCATGTATTTTCACGGTATTGTTTATAATTATACAAGAACAATGATGACTTATTTTTAAATACATTTGTTACAATGTACGATACCCTATGTACAAACAATATATATCCCATACTTTATTTTATTCCATGATTTATTTCATTCGGGGCCGAGGGGTGGGTTTCTAACTTGAAGTGTTTTGGAACTGAAGCGTTTCCAGCTAAAAATTTTCCGAGTTTGAAGCATACTGAGTTTTCAACGTTTCAAGGTTAAAACTAACTTTGAAGCATTCAAACTTGCATTCCAAATCCGTCGCGTTGTGGATTTCAAATATTTATAACACGCGAACTTTGAAGCTTACAGAAGCAAATCAAGCTTCCGGCACTTAACCGAGAAAAATGAATCGTTGTTGCGTAACGCGAAATTCTCCAGGTTCCACGGGCGGTTCGATCGTCCATTTTGGAGAAACGTACCAACGACCGGTGAACTCGAGATTGCATTTTGTCCGAGATCGAAGGCCCACCATGCCGGATGTCGTTCTGGGAATAACCGGCGACGGTTCCAGAGGTATCGGTGAACGCTTAATCGCATCTTCCGGCGGTTTGCGTTCGAAAGTGTCCACCGGAAGTCCCTCCTTTCTGCATTCTTCGGCCAGCACCTACAGTCAGTGACACCGGGACACATTAAAATTCGTGTGGTGCGTGCAGATACTGCACCGAGGGTCCCCACCAGAATATTCCTTGTACCTTTTTGAAAAATTCCCCGGTCAGATGTTCGTACTTCCTAGGCCAGTCGCGTCGAAATATTTTCTCACGCAGCATGACTTCCTTGCTGAAATCAACGAAGAGTTCTTTCGTTTCGTGGAAAGTACAGAGTTCATTGTCCCTTTTAATACCAAATACTGTCGAAAGTCACTGGATTCCTCGCAGTTTCTCCGCGTTTCGTCTTCTCGATTTTCCTGCTCTCGGCTTTATCCTGTGCTTCATTCATTATCGATCAATCACTCGTGAATAATGGAACGAACTTCTTGATAATAGAGTAAAGCTAAAACTGTGAGGACGACACTCGAAGAACGAGAAACCGTTTGTTCGATATCCTTGTGTTGCCATAGAACAGTGGGCTGACAAAGTGTATGGAGAACCAAAGGACACCTGCTATGTAATCATCGTGTAAATATATAACATCTTTTTTTTAAGAATTGTAATACAATTCATTGTAATAAAATTATTATTACTATAAAGTTTAGTGTTAATAATTACGGTGTATAGAAATAATTTAATGCTTTACATTGTTGCGTAGTTCCACCCCGTTTCAAATCGATTGCTCTGCGCGCGCCACAAGATGAGCTCTAGAAATCAAGAGAGGTTTTCTATCTGCGAACATAGTTTTTCCAAAAATATGTACGAAGATACGCTTCTGATTTAATCAACCGCAGTTCCCGGTGTTCCGGCAAGACTCGCGAACGAGCAGTAGCGCCAGGTAGCATTTTCGAGGAAAGAAGGAAAAACCGGTTGGTCGTTGTAAAAGTGATCGGAGTGCAAAGATCTGCGGAGTATCGATTTTCCGTAGCAGCTGCATAAAAGGTGGGCAGCGAATTACCTCGGGAAATCTCGTTGAGCCGAGGTAAACCGAGGCCAAGGAGCGGTGCTACGAGGCCATAAACCAAGAAGCGTTTAATCTTCGCCGCGAGTTGTAACTCGCAGCCACGAGGGCGTAGACGTAGCGGCTTAAGCCTGCAGGAAATAATCAAAGCGGCGATACAGCGGCAAATACGGTACAGGTCTGGTGTCTCACAGGCGAGGGTGCAGCGTGTAGGTGAATTTAGGTGCGTCTAACGGAACACGTTCGTCTTGGTTCGGCGAGAAGGTAACGGTTCGGAAAGCTTTGTAGTTGTGAGGTCTCGGGGCTGCGGCGGGCAAGGGGGATGGAAACGGCTGCAGAGTGCAATGCGCCGAGATTACGACTAATCTGCGCCCGAGACTGGTCGGAAGCGTAGTTTCTGTAACTTACATCGCTTAAAGCGTCAGCTCGTTCAACCCTCAAACTCCGTCGCGTCGCCCAGTGTCGCCCGCACAATTCTCCTCGTCTCTTCTCCTCTACCCCTGTTCGCGTCGTTTCTCCTTTCACGCTGTCTCTCCCCCGCCCCCCGTAACCGCTGTTGCATTAGCGGAGACTGATTCTCTCGGGAAAATCGCGTTCTTGCAACTGGAAAGTTTCGACGCCGCTCCACGCACCTGGCGGGACTTCGACGTCCTGGAGAGTCCGGTCGGAAACTTTATTCTTTCGCTACCTGGACAACCGGCTGCTCGTAAGACGATTCCACGGGATTTATTATTTACGCATCAGCGTCGGGACGCGAAACCGTTCGCTTTAGTAGCCATCCCGGAGGATAATGGTGGCGGAGAGAGCCACGTTCGCTGCTGAACGACGAGATTCAATCGACTGGGGCTTTCCGGCACACTCGAGTGCATTTTAGCTTTTTCAGCAGAAGTACCGACGCGGAAGTTACTAGCATATACACTGATCTTGGGGTTACAGTTCTTAGGGCTCTTACGACCTTTGAGATCTTCGAAGCGTCAGATTCTTAGAGATCTTAAAGTTTCAAGGGTTTCTAGAGTTACTGGAGTTCGAAGGGCTCTTATAATTTCTAAGATCTACACGGTTCGTGGGATTTATAGATTTCTTAAAGTTTTAAGCGTTCTTCGAGTTCTTAGAATTCTTGGAGTTTCTAGAGTTACCGGAATTAGAGTTTCTAGAATTCTTGGAGTTCCTAAGATATTCAAAGGTTAACTCTTGGGATTTTTAGAGTTCCCATGGTCCCTAGAGTTTTTGGACTTTCTATAGAGCCTAAAGTTCTTATAAGACTAGAGTTATCATAGTCCTTAGAATTTGTAAATCTCCTTTGATGATCCTAATGATACTATAATCGAGTTCGTAAGATTTCCAGAGTTTTGAGTATAGTCTCCTCGGAAGAATATATAAGAGAAATAGTCTGCGGCGTTCGTGCGAATTAAGCGTAGAATGCAAGGCAATTCTCGAGTATTATACCCACTGATGGGATTTTTCTCCCGCACGGCGTTATTTCGAGAAGGGAAAGCCAGCGTATCGTACGAACAGCTGACGTAAATCAACGCGAGTTGATTGATATACACGGGTATCCGGGCACGTTTAGGGAAGTCTGGTACTTTCGGACACGCGAGGCTTCCCCGTTCGTTATCGCGATACCAATATTCACACTCTCTTCACGCGTAGCCGGTGTGTACACCGTGTATACCAATTGACGGCTGCTTCCCTTTTCACGTGGCCGCGAGTGATCCCCTCGATCGTCGACTCGTGCACCCGGTGATATCTGAAGTGGCACGTCGCGCACGCGAGCCTCATCAAACACCGAGCCACCGGTGTCGTGGAATTCCCGCGGCGATTCGCGTGCAGGCTAAGAGTTTTCGCGCGTGTCCGTTCCGTCGATCGATCTGATCTCGATCGGCTCGCGACG